CAAGCCTCTGGGATTAAAGGTCTGTGGCACCACCACCTGGCAAATATCTTTACTAAATATTCCCAACACAGTCTAATTTCAACTTCCAATAACCTAAAAAAAAACCCACCAACTTAGCTTTAAAAGCTGTTATGGGTTTTATACATGTTTGGAGCAGTTACATTTCCGGTCTCAACAGTCACTGGCAACTAGCGATCGTCACAGCGAACAGTCAAAGGATGCTGTCAGTCTTACTGTAGGGACCAGTACAGCAGCCAAGGTCTAGCACCAGCTTCTAGCCTCACAACTAGCTGACTGACCCATCCTCACACCTCCATATCCCCCACAGACTTTCTAAGCCTTCCTCCTGCGGTCCATGGATATTTATACAACTCTCTGTCAATACTAAATGCTTACTGACTAGAAGTCAATGGTGCTGTTCAAAGCGTTCTCTTCTGTGTTGACCCACTGAAAATATATACAGAATTTTGTTCGTTTGTTCTGAGACAGGATATCCCACAGTCTAGGCTGTCCCTGAACTCATTATGCAGCGCAGGATGAACTTCTGAGCCTACTGACTCTATCTCCCGAGTACAGGATTTGGAGGCATGTGCCACCCCCGTGCCTGCTTCTCTGTAGAAGTTTGTCTAAGGGGCAGGAGAGATGGCTCAGGAGCTGAGGGCACCTACTGCTCCTGGAGAGGACCATAGTTCAGCTCTCAGCTCCTACATCAGGGGGCTCACAACTGTCTTCTAACTCCAGCTCCAAGGGATCCAAGAAGACTGCGCATGTACTAACAAGGGCACAGGCCCACACACCTACTTATAGCCATAATTAAAATAAAATAGAATTTAAAAATAAAAACGGAAGTATTAGAAATCGGTGGTCACCTACGTATACTGGGAGGCAAAAGTGGACACTCATAGATTTAATCATCTTCGTTTTGACAACTACCATTTCTTTAATTTACCAGACACTCCGTCACCTAATCTTCACAGCAATCCTATTTTACAGTGAGGAAACAAGTCTGCGGAGGTTAATACCGCCAGCCAACAACACAATAGTGAGAGACAGGTCTCAAGTCCAAGGCTGACTTTATTGTGGGTCCTTTAAATCATGTTACACACCACAGGCCACTGGAGTGTAGGCTTGTCACATTCAAGGTTAAACTAGACCATCAGTAGATTACACTGTTTTGCGGAGGGGCCTACAGGTTGGCTCGGTGATGACTCAAACTCACTGAATGTAAAATAGACATTCTGATTTTACTCTCACATCGCGTCCCCCAAATAAGACCATCCCCATTCATGAGAAAACTGAAGCTCAAAGGCTTCCTTTTGGGGACAGAGGCGTCAGCTTGGGTAAAAGCCGCTCAGGATGTCCGCCCCACTGTGACCAGGGCTCTGTCCGGCTGGACGCGAGGGTGGCGCCTGCGCCCTGGGCGGTAGTCTCCCCCCGGGTCCGCGATCCCACGGCGGCTCGTCACCGCGAGGACGCACTGCAGGGAATGCCCTCTCCTCGCAGTCCCCAGTTCGTCCCCTCAGTCTCGGAACCCTAACTTACCCAGTCCGGCCCAAAGCACGCCAAAACCATCCGCCACGAACGAAGCGACCCGGTAATGTTTACTTCCGGGTTCCTTGCCTTTTTCTGACAGACCAGCGATAACTTCCGGAATAACGGCACATGCGCACTCCCAAGTGCTTGGCCAGGGCTATTTTGTTTTTTTTAAAGGAAGCAGGCGGTTCGCGCAAGTAGTTCGTTGTGCACCCTGCAGGAAGACGGTGGCAGTGCAGCTTTGTGCCCTTGTAGAACAGTAGAATTTTAGCAAAAAATATTTACTGAAAAAAAACAAAAAGGTAGGCGTAATGGCTCACGCCTTTAATCCCTGAGACATAGGCGAATCTTTGAATTCCAAGCCAGTGAGTGACATAATAAGATCCTGTCCCAAACAAACTTAACTTAAATAATCCTCCATAAAACAGAAACTATTCAACAAACTACTGGAAAACAGGAGATTTTAGTGGATCTTTCTTTCTTTCTTTCTTCCTTTCTTTCTTTCCTTCTTTCTTTCTTCTTTCTTATTATTGGGTTTCTTTTTGGTGTATGAGTTTACCTGAGTTTGTACCTCATTGGCACCAGATCCTCCTGAACTGGAAATGTGTACGTATGTAAGTGTATATATATATCGGGAGCCACCATATAGATGCTGAGTACCCAACCCGGGATCCTTTGCAAGAATAGCAAGCTCTCTTGACTACTGAGTCATTCCCTGGAAACTTTTCTTTGTGCTGCCTTGTGGTTATTTACACTTCCCCCCTCATATGAATTTCTCTTCAGATACAGATGAATATAGCTAAGATCCCCACCTTTGGCAAGTCAAAGCCACAGAGTGCTTCCTCAGAGGAATTATAGAACTTTCTGGGCAAGAAGGAGGAAGTTTTCCTCAGGTTCCTGTCGGTGAGAAAGGGAGAAAACTTCTCACAGAATTAGAGAGTGTCCATGCGGAAGCTGTGGGAATTTATAGAGATTTCTTTTCAAAAGCAAAACTTATGTGTGCTAGCGATTTATTAAGAAGCAGCAAAATTTAGAAGGAGACGCAAGGAGAAAACAGATTAGATTAAGGGGAGAAAAGGAACAGGGCAGAAAAGGAACAGTAAGGGTGGGGATGGGGGCAGGGTGTCATCTTTATTCTCCTCCTCGAGTTAGACTCTTCTTTTTCATGATTGGCATAGTGTTCTGCTTTTTAACAGGTGTAGAATAAATACTTGTTGCGTGAATTTAAAGAGAACTCAAGGTACATATTCATTAGGACCATCACCTTGCTTGGAAACAGAATTAAGGAGGTGTAAAAAGACAGATCCCAGTGCAAAATCTTTTTTTTTTTTTTTTTTTTTTTTTGGTTTTTCGAGACAGGGTTTCTCTGTGGCTTTGGAGCCTGTCCTGGAACTAGCTCTGTAGACCAGGCTGGTCTCGAACTCACAGAGATCCGCCTGCCTCTGCCTCCTGGGATTAAAGGCGTGTGCCACCATCGCCCGGCCCAGTGCAAATTCTTAACTGTACACATGAAATACAATCCTGTATTTTATAGTGTTATATAGCCCCCCCCCCAAAAAAAAAAACTTGGGGGAAACTTTTCAAAATAAACGTACATTCTTTAAATTTTATCAGCACCAAAGTTTTTGCCTATGACATTTGAGAAAAACAAGGTGTATCCTCCACTTCTCTTTGAATATTTCTTTTTCTTTTGGAGACAAGGCCTCACTATGTAGTCTTGGCAGGCTACGGGAGCTGTGTAAAACAGGCTGACCTCGAACTCACAGAGATTCACTTGCCTCAGCTTTCCAAGGGTGGGATTAAAGGTGTTGTGTTGCTACGCCCGGTTTCCCTTTAGCAGTCAGACAGCTGCTGTCTAGGTAGACAGCATTATATATGCAGCGCTCCTGAGGTTCAGCTGAACCTGTTGGCTCTGAGGAAACAAAGGAATCCCTATGTGTCTGGACAGAGGGGAAGACTCTCAGTGAGATGCAGGATTTGGTTAGTGATTTGAAAATTTGCTTTTTGTTACTGTGTGAGACAGGGGTTCTCTTGTAGCCCCAGCTGTCCTGGAACTTGGTTTGTAGACCAGGCTGGCCTTGAACTCACAGGGATCTGCCTGTGTCTGCCTCCCGAGTGCTGGGATTAAAGGCGTTGCGCTATTTTTTGTTGTTGTTGTTGTTGCTATTTTTGCTATTTTATTCCTATGGAACTTACACAGAAAAGTCTCTTGTGGCACCGTATGGCTTTCACTGCCATTTTGGAAAGAATCCAAATATCCAGCAGCAGGGGGGAACGGGTGAAAATCCTAGGACATATTTCCTACTATCACGAAACCTTAGAATGTTCTCAGGAATATACATACAAAACTACTGACATGGGAACTGACCCATCATTGTTGAGAGTGCTCAGACAGACTAAGGAATCTTTACTCCCATTAACTGTAATCAAACACACATAGAAAAAAAGGGTGTAGGTAGGAAAAGGTTCCAATGATATTAACAGTGCTTATTTCAACCAGAAGACCTGGGTTCTCAAATGACCTCCATTTGTCTTCAAACCTGTCAAATTTCCACAATACTGAAAAATAAGCAGAAATAACTACTACTTTGGGGACACAGGCAGGTGGATCTCTGTAAGTTCAAGACCAGCCTGGTCTACATAGTGAGTTCCAGGGCAGCCAGGGTCCTCCGCAAGAGCAGCAAGTGCCCTTAATTGCTGAGCCATCTCTCCAGCCTTGGAGACTGTTTTGATGTGGGCAGACCCAAACCATCTTCTCGGTAGTTTAGGGCCTCTGACTTGGGCCTGAAGATTTAAGGTCTAGAAAAAGCCTCTTGGTTTCTCTAGTTTACTCTTAAGATTTTGTGCACGTGTGTTCTGGATGAAGTTTGGTCTCTATTGATGCCTTTTAGCCTTTTTAGCCAGTAACTAACGTGTACGCCTGTCTCCTAGAGAATCCACTCTTTCTACTCTGATTTCAGCATTTCTGGGCTAGTGAGTTCCAGACAAACCTGAGCTGCGCAGTAAAAGACTGTCTTAAACAAGCCAAAAACATAAAAAGTAAGCCTGGACTGGTCGTACAGTAATCCCAGCTTTTGGGAGACCGGAAGCAGGATCAGGAGTCATCATCCGTCATCCACCACATAGCTAGTTCATGGACAGCCTGGGTCACATGAAACCCTGCTATAAATTTTTTTTTTTTTTTAATGTTTAAAGTAAAGTGAGCTTAAAGATGTTCTTGTTATTGGGCCAGTGCCTTCTCGCAGGTCCACGCCGTGGAAAACAGAAAGCCCATCAGTAGTTTTGGATAATGTAAGATCGTAATTTTTTAATTCCTGGGAGAGAGAGGCAGGTGTGAGTGGGTGTGTGTGTGTGTCTGTGGCGGGGGGTGGGGTGGGTGGGGGGTGGAGCGGTGGCTGAAAACTTCGATTGCTCTCATTGGCTCTCAGACTCCAGGCCCCGCCTCCTCTCGGATGGACCAATTGAGGCGCGAGTTGTGTTTTAAACCGCGGTGTGCGGGATCGTTGGTGGTGCAGTCTTGGGTGAGTCTAGCTGTTAGGGTGTCGCGGGTGAGCTGGGGTGAGGGGTGGGGTGGGGGGCAGGCAGACTGGAGGCCGAAGCAGGGTCGACCTGAGCCTAACTCGGCCCCGCGTCCCCGGGCACTGTTGGCGTGCTCGACCCGCGGCGACGTTGCTTTCATTTTCCTTCTTCCCCGCCTCCCTCTTCAGGGTTTTCAAACAGCTTGTGGTCTCGAACTTGTTACGTCTCCGAGACCAGTCTTGATTATCTGATCCTTCTGTCTCCTCCCTAGCGCTGAGATTACAGCCCGGAGACAGTTTTGATGGGTGCCAACGTCAACTGCCTTCTCTTTAGGAGTTTATTATTTCTGACCCTGGCTTGAAGAGTTAAGATCTGGATAAAGCCTGCTGGCTTCACCAGCTTGTAATTTTTGTGTGTGTGCATATGTACCCTCAGCCAATCTTGGTCTCTGTTGGTGCTTATCTCTTCATGCCTTCACTATTCTGATATGTAAGTCTCTCCCCTAGAGTAATCCAGGATGGCTACTCTGATCTTTGTTGATAAGGATAATGAAGAACCAGGCAGCCGTTTGGCAACTAAGGATGGGTTGAAGCTGGGGTCTGGTGGTAAGTATGGGCTGCCTCTGAATACACAGGTGTTGAGTGGATAATGGGCGTGGCGTGGAGCCGGTAGCATTTAGTGTACTTTGTGGCTGATTGGAGTCAGGTTTGTTATATTTTTCTTTTTTTTTTCTTTTTCTTTCTGGTTTTTCGAGACAGGGTTTTTCTGTGTAACAGTCCTGACTCCCAAGTGCTGGAATTAAAAGCATGTGCCCCCACCGCCTGACATTATCTCCCCCACCACACACATGGTTTCTCTGTAGCTTTGGAGCCTGTCCTGCAACCAGCTCTCGTAGACCAGGCTGGCCTTAGACTCACAGAGATCTTCCTTTATTGTCTTAAGATTGTGCTGCTGGGTGGTGGTGGCACACACCTTTAATTCCAGCACTCTGGAGGTAGAGGCAGGTAGATCTCTGTGAGTTCCAGACCAGCCTGGTCTACAAGTTCCAGGAGAGGCTCCAAAAACTACAGAGAAACCTTGTCTTGAAAAAAAAAAAAAAAGTGTACTAAACCACTGCCAAAAATGAAGCATGGGTTTGTGGGTGAGAATTGGGTTAAGTTGATGAGATATTTATATGGTCTAATCTTTAAGAACACTATATTTATTACCTTTATTTGTGTATGTTTGGGGGCATACATGGGTGCCTGTGGAGGTCAGAAGACGTGTGGACATCAGTTCCCTTTACACTGTGTGAGGTCTGGGGATTGAACTGAGGTGGTTAGGTTTGGCAGCTTTGCCCCTAATATTCTTCTTCTTTTTTTTTTTTTTTTTTTTTTTTTTTTAGTTTTTCGAGACAGGGTTTCTCTGTAGCTTTGGAGCCTGTCGTGGAACTAGCTCTTGTAGACCAGGCGGGCCTAGAACTCACAGAGATCCGCCTGCCTCTGCCTCCCGAGTGCTGGGATTAAAGGCGTGCGCCACCACTGCCCGGCGCCCCTAATATTCTTGTGGTTATACTTTTTCTTTTTCAACAGTCAAGGCGTTAGATGGGAAATTACAGGTCTCAGCGCCTCAAGCTGGCAAAGTGTTCGAGGCTCCAGCCTTGCCTAAAGCCAACAGAAAGGCTTTAGGAACTGTCAACAGGGTTACAGAAAAGCCAGTGAAGACTAATAATAGGCCGCTCAAACAAAGACAGCCAGCTTCGACCGTGAAGAAGGTGAGTGTGGGATATGAAGATGACATGTATGTACATGCTTTAGCACTAAAAAAGGCTTATTCTCATTCATATGTGTATCGATGTACATGAAAACTCCAGAAGAGGGCGCTGGGTCCTTTGGAACTGGAGGTACAGACAGTTGTGAGCTGCCTTAAGTAGGTGCAAGGAACTGAATTCAGCCCTTTTGAAAAAGCAGCACGTTCTCTCTCTCTCTCTCACTCTCTTTTTTATTGATATTTATTGAGTTCTACATTTTTCTCTGCTCTCCTCCCTGCCTCTACCATCCCCCCTTCAACCATTCCCCAAGGTCCCCATGCTCCTAATTTACTCAGGAGATCTTGTCTTTTTCTACTTTCTACTTCCCATGTACATTAGATCTATGTAAGTCTCTTAGTGTCCACATTTTTGTCTAAGTTCTCTGGGATTGTGGTTTGTAGGCTGGCTTTCTTTGCTTTATGTTTAAAAACCACCTATGAGTGAGTACATGTGATAATTGTCTTTCTGGGCCTGGGTTACCTCACTCAAAATAATGTTTTCTAGTTCCACCCATTTTCCTGCAAAATTCAAGCTGTTGTTATTTTTTTCTGCTGTGTAGTATTCCATTGTGTAAATAAAATGAGTTTTTCTGAGAGAAACAATTAATAAATGGGATCTCCTGAAACTGAAAAAAAGCTTCTGTAAAGCAAAGGACATGGTCAAAAAGACAAAACGACAGCCTACAGAATGGGAAAAGATCTTCACTAACCCCACATCACACAGAGGTCTGATCTCCAAAATATATAAAGAACTCAAGAAATTGGACACCAAAAGATCACATAATCCAATTTTTTTTTTTTTTTAAAAAAAGGGAATACAGACCTAAACAGAGAACTCTCAACAGAGGAATCTAAAATTTAGGAAGTGGTTCCCTGTGCCAATGCGTTCAAGTATACTTCCCACTTTCTCTTTCTTCTATAAGGTTCAATGTGGCTGGCTTTATATTGAGGTCTTTGATCCATTTGGACTTGAGTTTTATGCATGGTGATAAATATGGGTCATTTTCAATTTTTCTACATGTTGATATCCAGTTATGCCAGCACCACTTGTTAAATATGCTTTTTTCCTTTTGATATTTTTTGCTTTATCAAATATCGGGTGTTTGAAGGTGTGTGGATTGATATCCGGGTCTTCTATTTGGTTCCATTGGTCCTCCAGTCTGTTTTCAGTACTGTAGCTTTGTAGTAGAGTTTGAAGTCAGGGATTGTGATGCCTCCAGAAGTTCTTTTATTGCCCAGGATTGTTTTGGCTATCCTGGATTTTTTGCTTTTCCAAATGAAGTTGAGTATCATTCTTTTGCGGTCTTTGAAGAATTTTCCTGGGCATTGCGTTGAATCTGTAGATTGCTTTCAGTAAGATTGCCATTTTTAGTATATTAATTCTGCCTACCCAAGAGCATGGGAGGTCTTACCACTTTCTGGTGTCTTCTTCAATTTCTTTCTTCAAAGATTTAAAGTTCTTGCCATGCAAGTTTTCCACTTGTTTGGTTAGAGTTACTCTGAGATATTTTATGCTATTTGTAGCTATTGTGAAGAGTGTTGATTCTCTGATTTCTTCCCCAGCTCTTTTACAGGAGGGCTACTGATTTTTTTGGGTTAATCTTGTATCCTGATTCATTGCTGAAAGTGTTTATGAGTTGTAGAAGTTCCTTGGTAGAATTTTTGGGATCACTTATGTAAACTATCATATCATCAGCAAACAGTGAGAGTTTGACTTCTTCTTTTTCAATTTGTATCCCCTTGATCTTCCTTTGGTGTCTTATTGCTCTAGCTAGGACCTCAAGAACTATATTGAATAGGTATTGAGAGAGTGGACAACCTTGTCTTGTTCCTGGTTTCAGTGGAATCTCTGGGAGTTTCTCTCCATTTAGTTGGATGTTGACTGTTGGCTTGCTATATATTGCCTTTATTATGTTTAGGCATGTTCCTTGTATTTCTGCTCTCTCCAAGACCTTTATCATAAAGGATATTGTATTTTGTCAAATGCTTTTTCGGCATCTAATGAGATAATCATCTGGTTTTTATATTTCAGTTTGTTTATATGATGGATTACGTTGACAGATTTTCATATGTTGATCCATCCCTGCATCTCTGGGATGAAGCCGACTTGGTCATGGTGGATGATGGTTCTGATGTGTTCTTGGATTTGATTTGCTTGTATTTTATTTAGTATTTTTGCATGGATGATCATGAGTGAGATTGGTCTGTAATTCTCTTCTTAGTATTGTCTTTCTGTGGCTTGGGCTACAATGTAACTCGTAGAAGTAGCTAATGCTGCCTTTACCTCAGCCATTCTTAACAGCCTCAGGAGGCAGCTGGTTCGAAGCCAATTAGCAGATGGGCGAAGCAGATGGGTTTGATGGACACCTGCACTCTCACACCTGGGAAGCGGCCAGCCTGAGCTGCTCCTCAGCCCCCCAATTCTGGCATACACATAGGAGATCCAGAGCACCCAGATTTCTGTTTTGGCCTACTGCTATTGTCTACCTAGTATTCTTCAGATGTTTTGAATATTTTGCTGCTTCTTAATCCCATGTACTTAAGGAACATAAACTTGTTAATATTAGCCATGCAAATAATTAAGGTAACAGTGGCAGAAAAACCACACTTTAAAAGGTAAAAATGACTCCCAGCATTAGCTGGCTACTATTCTGGGGTGCCTCAATCCTGTCTACTCTCTTAGGTTTTAACAGCTGAGTAGATTAGCTTTGAGTCAACTCTGCTCAGTGTTCTTGGGAATATATGTGGATAGGTGCAAAAATCTCTGGCTTAACTTAAAAAAAAAATACTTTTTGTATGTGAATGTTTGCCTGTATCGTATATAAGTGTACCATGTGCCTGAGGAGGACGTAAAGGGACATTGCATCCTTTGAACTGGAGTTACGGATAGCTGTGGGTGCTGGGAACTGAACCTTGGTCCTCTGTAAGAAAAGCAAGCGCTCTTAACCACCGAGTCACGTCTCCAGGCCCTTAGCTTGTGTGTGTGTGTGTGTGTGTGTGTGTGTGTGTGTGTATGTGTATGTTTGTATGGGGAGGGCAGGTCCTGCACACACGATGACGTGTCAAGGTTGGAGGATAACTTCCGGGAGTCAGTTCTCTCTTGTGACTGACTCCTGAAAACAAGAATTGTGACTTGTTGGAAGATAGCATAGAACTGACAGGTGTGAAAGTGACGCCATCACTTGAGGAGGCCCTCCAACTTCTTGTTACCATGTAGGTGGCAAAACTTGTAACAGCCGCTTATTCTCTTGGGTTTCTCTAGATTGCTGAGAAGCCGGCTAAGATACAAAGCTCTGTTTCTGCTTCTGATGATGACGCCTATCCAGAAATAGAGAAGTTCTTCCCATTCAATCCTCTAGGTAAGGTCTTTGGGATGCCCTCGGCTTGAGATTCTCTTACCCTGTGATGCCCTGTGACTGTATTGTGCTGCTCCAGGCTCTGAGACTGTCTGACCTGGGTCACTTTGAGTAAACAGACTTGCTCAGGTGGAAACACTTGCCAGGATATCACCTTCGGTCAGGGAAGAACAGGAGCAAAGATTTGAGGAAAATCAGAAGCTCAAGGTCATTTGTTGTGTAAATTCAGGGCCAGCCTGGTCTTCACAGTGAATTCCAGGATAGCCAGGGCTACATAGAGATATCACCTCTGATCTCGTCAGGAAGGGCCAAACATAGCTGGGCTTGGTGGTGCACGCTGTCAGTCCTAGGCAGAGGCAAGTGGAGCTCTGAGTTCAAGGCCAGCCAAGGCTGTGTAGAGAGACCCTGTTTCAAACAAACAAAAAGAAAAGACCAAGTCTAAAAGTCTAAAGTAATGTAAGAGAAAATTTCAAATTAACTTCATGCTAACTATTGCAAGTGAGTGTTTCAAATTTATTTTATATGCATTGGTGTGAAGGTATCAGAGTCCCTGGAACTGGAGTTATAGACAGTTGTGATCTGCCATCTGGGTGCTGAGAATTGAACCTGGGTTCTCTGGAAGAGCAGCCAGTGCTCTTAACTGCTGAGCCATCTTACCAGCCCCTGGCGAGTCCCTTTTCTGTGACATCAGTATGGTCATATTTTCTTCTGGTGTGCAGAAGTTCTCATTTTATTACAGATTCTTTGACAGAAAATGGGGACTTGTTTTGTACCTCAGGGTGGCTTCACACTCATGGTGATGCTCCTGCATTAGCCTCCCAAGTGCTTGCATGATAGTTATGTGCTGTCTGCCATACTTCTATCACAGAGCCTAATAAAGAGACTTCAAGAACTGAACTGTTACAATTATGCTTCTTTTTTGTTTGTTTGTTTGTTTCTTGAGACAGGGTTTCTCTTTAGTTTTGGAGCCTGTCATGGAACTAGCTCTTGTAGACCAGGCTGGTCTCGAACTCACAGTGATCCGCCTGCCTCTGCCTCCTGAGTGCTAAGATTAAAGGCGTGCGCCACCACCGCTTGGCACAATTATACTTTTTGCTGAGTATGTTTACAGTAATATTGACTTTAAGGCAGTAACTTATTTAACTGAGTATTATTAAATTGGCTCTGTTTTGCATAGTGGAGAAGAATATTTTGACGTAATGTCCTTCACTGCCATTGCGCTGACCGGGCTGAGGGAGCTTTGTCCTGACGCCTGTTGCTTCCCTTGGTGACAGATTTTGAGAGTTTTGACTTGCCTGAGGAGCACCAGATTGCACATCTCCCCTTGAATGGAGTGCCTCTCATGGTCCTGAGTGAGGAAAACATGGTTGAGAAGCTGCTGCACCTGGATCCCCCTTCGCCTCTGAAGACACCCTTTCTACCGTGGGAATTTGGTGAGCCGCGCGCTCTCGAAAAGCTGTGAGCAACTTGTTAGATGACACTTGCATTGCTGTGGGGACAACAGGCAAGCCTGTGTGTAGCTTGCCCTTGGACTACTGGGGCAAAATTTCAGAATAATCAAAACTTTTTCCTTAGTCATTAAGGTTTGATACCAAAAGAAGTGGTTTTGGAATCTGGTCAGCCCTTGGTTATAACAGAAGATTAAATTTAACATCCAGCTTCTTAGGCCACGAGTTGAAGTCTGTAGTAACCGTGATGAGGTGAACAATCCAGGTTCCATCCATGGCTAACAGAAGGCCAGACACCTATGCTGCAGTGTAGACCGGCAGCACCTTCTCCTGCCGAAAGCTTAAGGGCCTTAGTTGGAAGTGGCGGTCAGAAGACACCATTGGACCACCCGCTCCGATGACACAGGTGGTTGGTCCTATCTTAGCATTAGACTTACCCTCTAAAGAGCATGTAGGTTCACATACTTTTAAGGCCTAGCCTACTTCTTGATAAAGGTCAGCTCAGAGGCCACTGCCACATTTAAGATCTGCATGTTGTGTGATGTAGCACATTAATAAATATCTGGGGCTCAGCCTGAAGGTCAGAAAAACAAAACAGTCAGCCACTGGCTCTTGCCTCTACCTCAGTCTGAAATGGCGAACCTGCCTCCAGGAATCTCAGAATGAGACTGTGTGTCTGAGAGCTGTCTCCTCCTGTTGTATAATGCCCTCTAGGGCTGGGATTAAGGGCCTGCACCATTGGGATTAAAGGCGTGCACAACCCGGTTTCTATGGCAAACTAGTGTGGCTACTAGAAATAAAGGTGCGTGTTATCACTGCCTGGTCTGTAAGGCTGACCAGTGGGGCTGTTTTACTCTCTGATCTTCAGGCAAGCTTTATTTATTAAAATAGAAATGAAATATCACTACAGAGTGAGATTCATCAGATAAGTGAATTTAGGGTGGAAGTAGCAGCTAATGTTATGGATAGTGGCTACAGGATTTGCAGAAACTAACGAGAAACCCCTCTTCCTCCAGGTCCACTGCAGTCTCCTTCCAGCCTTCTCTCCACCCTGGATGTTGAACTGCCGCCTGTTTGTTACGATGCCGATATTTAAACTTCTTATTCTTTTATAGTTCTTATGTATGTTGTATAATAAAGTGTTTGTGTGTGCATGTGGGGCATGACTTCTTACTAGCTCACGATTGATATTTTTGGCATTAGAAGGTACCCCAGTTTTCCTGCGAAAGTATCCCCTTCACCATGTACTTCATTGCCTTTTCATGGCCATTAACTAGTGACAGTTATTAGATTTCTTAATTAGAAGAGCCACTTCCAGCTCATTAAGTATTTATCGTTAGGCATTCTTTACCACCACTTCTATTTAGTGCTAATGACTTCAGGATTCAGTAGCCCGAGTTTGAAAGGCACTAAATCTTCTGAGAACGCAGCCTCCTCGGCATCTTCAGTTAGGTACTTCGAAGATCATTGCAGATAATTTACTTACAGTAGGGTTCACTCCCCCCTATAGGAATCAGTTCTTTATCCAGTTGTGGGCATGAGTGTTTGATAAGCATTAATGCATTTGTATCTAAGTCTATGAGAGGAGCTGGTCCCTTTGCTTTTGAAGGGACTGTGTTTTGTCCACTGGTGCGGTATGCCAGATTCTGTAGTGTATGACTATTTTTGCAAAAGTAGGGGCAATGGGGGGGGGGATACTAGTCCTGAGGAGGGAGGAGTCTCCTATCTCCGCATGCCATTTGAGGCTGACTCCTAGTTAATGGGCCTGCTTCTCTGGCCGGGCCCTGACTGCTCAGGCCACAAGCCTGCTGGGGATTCTGTTCCCAGGCACTGGCTTTGCTGCTGCTATAAAGGGAGCTTTAACTAAAATCTGTTGTTTTTATTTATAAATAAGACTTGAGATTCAAAGGCTAGGGTGAAAACTGCTAGCTCAGAGACTGAGTAGCAACTAGCTAACCCTTTCTCCTTGCTGGTGTCTCCCAAAGAAAGTGTCCCTCTGCTCCACCAACAAAAGCCTAAAAATAAAAAGATGTTCCAGATCCCTCCCTGCTTCTGGGGCCTCCCTTCCACCCAGATGCCTTCTGATGGTGTATGATTTACGTTCTGTCAACCAGCTGCTGACAGCCTCCTGGCCCAAGGTTAATTTTATTTAATGCAAATGCAAACTCAGGGTTCACAGGTGATCGAGTGTCCCTCAACATGATACATTTTGTATTGTTCGAGTGCAAAGTCTGAAGCTCCTCCTCGGTTGTAGTGATCTCTGAATTACAGTCACATCCGCATCAGCTCTGTCCTCAGCTTTAACTGGGTTCCAGCTCCTTGCCTTGTGAAATGGCACAGTTCCTCTTTCTGTACTCTGTGTTCTCTCTGGAAGTGCGGGTAAAGCAGCCAGTGCTTAGCCACCCGCCGCAGGGTGAATATCGCGCTGTCCTAATCTTATCTACCAGTTAAATTAGTCCACTTGAGTACAGCCCCGCCCAACTTTTCCAGAAAATGCTTGGACCGAAGCTAGATTCTTTGCCAAATATAACACAAGAGGCCTTTAGTTCCCTCTAACCGTGGGGGCAGTCCTGGTGTCCATCTTTCTAGCGGCATTCTGGTTGGTCTTCTGAATGCCTACCAGAATGATCCATTAAGCTGTGCTTGAGGAGGCTAGGGGTTTCCTCAGCCTGCATCTCCAAACTCATGTCCCCCAAGTCTATTAAGATCATGTTGACAGGTTTAACAGCCATGACTCTGTCTTGGTGCCACTTTTCAGTATTATAGCAGGGAAGGCAAGAAGCCACTCCAGGGAGTGGCTCCTGATGGGCAGCAGTTACATCCCTGGATCAGAAAGCAGAAGAAAAGACTCTCGGTGCTCATAGCTTCCTTTCCCCTTTCTCTGCTTTCCATCAATCCAGCACCCCAGCAGAGAGGATGGAGCCGCCTACATTCCAGAGCCAGTGGTCTCTCAAATTAATCTCTCTGCGGTGTTCTGCACCAATGCCCTAGGCATTTCTTATTCCAGTTGACAAAACTGTCATGAGGAACCACCTGTGTGGTCTGCCCTTCACAGCACAACCCTGTGCGCTGCAGAGAACAAGGTAGATGAGGGTCTCCCACAACATCCGGATCTTCAGGCTCCATGGCCCAGGCTAGTGTAGCAGGTGTCCCACGTTGTGTTCTGGACTTGGAAGCAGGTAGCGATCTTAAGTTCAGGTGAATCCCAGATACTCTAGTAACAGGGTGGGAAGAGATACCACACTCTTTGCCAGGCTCCCCCACAGCCTTTTTTTCTACCATGCTTTGCCGGTGATGCCAGGGTGGCGCCACAGTTCCTGCAGCCTAGGCCATGTTCATCTGGGGTAAGAGACTATTTCCAAGATTCCAGTCTTCACTGCTTCATATGACTGCAAGAAGGGAGGAACTCCCCTCCAACCATGGACACAGCGTTTTGTCTTCTCACGTCCCCAGAAGGAAGGCTCACTTCCTTCAGTCTTTCCTCTCACTCTGGGCCATCATCTCAGAGAGCGCAAAGCTAACTTAAGTTTTTAGTTTATGTGTGTGTAAGGCTAAGGACAACTTCTGGGAGTCTCTTCTCTGTCTTCAGACGACAAGTCCCTGGGATAAGGCCCAGGTTTGGGAGCAAGTGGCTGCTGAGTCATCTCGCCAGCCCTAACACTGACCTTTGAATAGGCTGAATTTAGTGGCGTTGGAGACCTCAGCCATATGTACGCAAGTGACAGGAAGAACAGGTGGCAGACCTGTGTCCTTTGTCTTGTGTGCTCGTGGCTCCCTGGAGGACTCACGCCTTTTTTTTCTTTCTTTCTTTCTTTCTTTCTCTCTCTCTCTCTCTCTCTCTTTCTTTCTTTCTTTCTTTCTTTCTTTCTTTCTTTCTTTCTTTCTTGTATCCTGCCTGTAGGCCAGAAGAGGGCACCAGATCTCATTATAGGTGGTTGTGAAGCACCACGTGGTTGCTGGGAATTGAACCAGGACCTCTGGAAGAGTAGTCATCTCTCCAGCCCTAGGACTCACACCTTTTGAAGAGGCCTCTTTTTCCTGTAAGTGGAGCTTGGGATAGAATAAATAGGAAGAGAAATCTGGGAGGAGAGATAAGAAACAAGAAAGAGAGGAGACTCCAGGGGCCAGTCACCCAGCTACACAGCAAGCCATAGAGTAAGAAGTAAAGAAAGGTATACAGAAACAGAGAAAGATAAAAGCCCAGAGGCAAAAGGTAGACAGGATAATTTAAGTCACAAAAAGCTGGCTAGAAACAAGTCAAACCAAGGCTGGGCATTTTGTCTTACTCCTCCCTTTTGGGGTCAGGGGTATTTTAAGCAGTTGGAAATTAAACGCGGGCAAATTTTCTGTACCTATTGAAAAATTCCCTTCCTATACTATCCTAAAAAAAGAAGAAGACAACACGTATATTTATTTGGGAGTTAGGTGGCGGGCCACCCAAAGAGTCAAAGAGTACAAAGAAAAAAAACAGCTGATTACACATTTAATTAAAAATAAAGTAAATCTGAACAAAGCAGACATAAAGCCACATAATGTGGGCATGCAAACTGGGGCTGTTGAACCTTACGGGATATACTCGTGAAGTTTGGTAATGACCCTGATAGGTGCTGTGAAGCGCACCCTGGCTCTTGTAGTGAATATACCAGACTGGATAGCTCAAACCTTGGAGATTTATTCTCAGGATTCTAGAGGTTAGGACTTCAAGACCCAGATGTGGGTAGGCTTGGTTCCTTTGGAGGCCTCTTTTCTCTACTCGCAGAGAGAAGAGTTGTACCAGAATGGACTGACATGTGTGCTGGGGGGAGGGGGGATAATAGTACTGCTTAGTGACTGAAATTTTAGGGTACATGCAGGGCGTGTGGTCTGGAACTGCAGCGAGGACCCAGGAAGACACCTTTGCCTCTGTTGTGGGTGGAACAGAGATTCTGTCCATGGACCCTCACAGAGAGGTGAAGGTTGGTGAGTAAAGAAGACTTGGCATTCAGAGGACAGCATGGCAATCTGTGTATGAGATATGTCCTGTAGGAAACTGTCTATCTTTGTCTGCTTCTTGTGGCTGTGATAAAGACTAATACCAAAAGCAACTTAGGGAGCAAAGAGTTCATTTACATATTCTGATAACATTCTGTCACTGAGAAAAGGCTGGGCAGCAACTTAAGCAGGGCTGGAGCCTGGAGTCAGGAACCTAAGCCATAAAGGAAAGCTGCCTACTGACTTGCTCAATGGTGTGCTCAGCCTGGTTTCTCATTGTTGGTGTTAGCCTAGCCTTTCACAGCTGATCCATCTCCCCAGCCCCAGTCCCAGCCCCAGCCTCAGCCTGTCTTATACAACTGAGGACCACCTACCTAGGAGTTGCACCACCCAGTGTGGGTTTTCCCACATCAAGCACTAATCAAGAAAATATTCCATAGACTTGCATAGGGGTCAATCTGAGGGAGACATTTCCCTGGAAACCTCCTCTTCCCAGATGACTTTGTTTTGTGTCATGTTAACAAAGTACTAACCAGTATACTGCTGTTAAGGGGACACACACACACATACATGTCTCCCTGTGTATCTGGTCTTGAACTTAAGGTCCTCCTGGTGCTAAGATTGCAGGCGTTTGTCATCACACCCAGCTACATACTTTAACACGCAAAGGTGTGTCACTTTTGATACCAAACTTCTTAGTCTACATGAGATTGAGTGAAGATTTGTTACAAGTTCTCTTCCTGGAAATAGAATATCAGGAACCAACAGCTTATTATTTTTGGTAATGAGGGACAAGAGTTGCCTAGCATTAAGCCAGAGGCCATCTTCATGTCCTGAAGGATTCTCTCTTGAGGTTTATAATCTCCCTGGAGGCTGCACGCAGAACATAGGGGAAGGGATCTGCCTTAGAATATGCAAAATTGCCAGGGGAAGCAACAGCATAGGGGAACAGAGTTTAGGAAGAAGGACACGGTAGGTACAAGGAACTCCCTGGAAACATGGCTACCAGAAGAGCAGGGGCCTTTGTCCAGCTGCCCTTTAGAGCAGCGATTCCCAGTGACTGTCTAGAGAACCCCAGGGGTACTCATGACTTTTGCCAGAATATGTAAGGTTGAGTCTACTCCAATAATAGCACTAAGGTTACATACCTCTTTGTCTCTCTCTTTTGTCTGCAGGGGCACAG